TAATTTTCCACCAGCCCCTGGCTTGCTGGCTCTCCCTTGGGGAGTGGGGAAGCAGAGTTTAACTTCTGGGTTTTAAACCTGAATATCCTGAATGCTCTGGAGCATTCTTTGCCATCCTTGTAATTAGGTACAGAGAACTGAGCAAGGGAAATGCTCTCAAACCCTTTGCTGATGGTCCTTGACCTCGAGTAATTGGGCATCCAGTGGAGCAAGGAAAAGACTCGATTACCCCTGTTCCCAGGTGAGCAGCCAGACCTCCCAAGCGAGCAGCTGCAATCATTCTTGCTTGGTTTCCCAAAGACTTTTTTTTAACAACATGGAGCTGTGCCATGGGAGAGACTGACAAACAGCCAACCTTAGAAAATCCTATGTTCTGCAGATTAGCGTCTGCCCTCAGCAGTGTGGTTTCAAATATTGTTCAGATAGCTGGTGAAAATGAATATAACTCTTCCTTGGAATGTGCAACTCTGCTGCAACAGCCATTGGGTAAAAGCTAGGAAGAGCAGGACAGCTTTTGGTGGGGCATTTTGGTGCTGTATTATAACATTTACTTTTTTTTCTGTTCAAGGGACTGATCTTGTTAGAAAGTTTTTAAAATATATTTTATTAATGTATCTTATATATTAATTATACTATATATTAATTTTAACCACATCATTATTTTATATAATATTTCATTACATTATATATTAAATATTTTATTTGTATGTTAATATATTTTATTAATGGTGGATTTTTTGTTTGGCTTCTTCTTTTTTTTGGGGGGGGGCGGGGTGATGATGTTTGATCTTTGATCTAATTTCTGTGTTCAGTGCTGAAAGCAAAGTGAAGACAAGAAGTACCCGTTCTGGGATGGAGCTGGTGATACCAGAACCAGGTCTTCAGCAGGTTGATGGTAGGATCTTTTCCAGGGGTGATGGAGGGCCTGCAGTGTCCCATCTCCTCTCAGGAAAGGTCATGATCTTTACCTTAGCATCTCAGCCATTCAGCAGTTGAGGATGAGCTTCACTGGAGCATCCTAAAGGTAAGGACAGATGTTCTCACTGTGAGCTGCTGCGGAGTGGAAAGTCATTGTAAATGGGAGATGGCAAGGGCAAGGAATTTGCAATAGTCTTCATTGCTGAGGAGCTGCTTTATGCTCTGTATTAACATCCTAAAAGGGAGCATGAATTCATCAGCAATATTACCCTCTGGCATGATATATGTGTGTACTGTTACTGGGTGGTGTTTACAGAGGCATTACACAGTGTAATGTAAAATACTTCACAAAATAAGAAATATAAAGGAAAAGCCTTGGATGATGTTTTATAATTAGATGTTTGATCTAATGCCTACAAAGACCAACCTTTAACCTAGAAATGCCAAGCACACCATTAAGCCATGTCACTAAGCTCTACGTCTACACATTTTTTGAAGACCTCAAGAGATGGTGACTCAACTACTTCCCTGGGCAGCCTGTTCCAATACCTCACAACACAGTGAAGAAATTTTCCCTAATATCCAACCTAAACCTCCCCAGCACAATTTGAGGCTGTTTCCTCTTGTTCTATCACTTCTTGCTTGGGAGAAGAGACCGAGCAACCAACCTGACCTTGTGCTGGCCATCAGTAGCCTCCCTTCTAGGAAGGGATGGTGAGACTTTTGTGACCATAGCACCCGGGGCAGCAAAGAAGTGGGTGCCTCAGATAATCACATAGGGTTAATCTGTCATCTTGCTGGTTCTTAAATAACGCCCTACAGTGCACTGTAGACTGTTGTTTACAATGTGTCACCTGTGACAGCTTCTTATTTTCACATAATACTTTTCAGCCAAATAAAATTCCTAAATAACATAAGTGAATAGATCCATGAGGTTTCCCTTGGTGTTACTCGAGCCTCTTGGTTTAATTAGACTTGTACACTTGCCAGCAATTTATTTTCTCCTGATGCACTACTGTCTTCTTGCAGAACCTCTGGGGTGGATGCGACTTGCTGTTATGAAAGAAGCTGTGCACTGAATTCCTCTGGAGAAATTACAGAACTGCCAAACTGACATACATCCTTACATCCTCTTCACTAGGATTATTAATAATGCCGCCAATGTGATTAATCTTATATTTTCAAAGATCCTTTTAAAAACAAGCATTTAACGCTTGACTGAAATCAAGAGAGACCTCAGAGTGGGTACAGGGTGGGATTCAGAGAGAAAGGAGTGCATGCCAGATGTGCAACAGTGAAATGTTTTGCCTTCAGTATCTCTCTCAAGTGATGTCCCAGTTGTGTAACTCCCCCATTCTGCCTCATTCTTGAGATTGCATATCCTCAGCAGACATTAATAATAATAATAAAGAAATGGTTTCTCTTTCTGTAAACACCTTCTGGAACTGTACAGTGCAACTGAGCTTCTAGGGACCCAGACACAACTGGAAGAATGTACATAGCCGGTATATCAAAACAGTGAGGTTTTTTTGTTTGTTTTTCCAGGAAAAACCCTTATGTTATGTGAAAAGTCTTTAAAATGGTCACTATTTAGGAGAGCATGCTTTTTGTAGGAGACCACTAGCCCAAATTCCAAGAGATGTCAGCCATTACTGCAACTTCCACGCATCTCTAAAAAAGTGGTCTTTTCTATGAGATACACCAAGAGCTGTCAGCCCTGTGAGAGCATCTGGTATTTTTGTTCAGGAAACTTGGTTTGTACTAACTAAGGGGGAAAAAAAAAAAAAAAAAAAAAAAAAAAAGGACAAAATAACACATGTGCTCACATAGTTTACGACTTTACAGGCATTTTACTCCTGTCTGGGCACAGGTCCAGTCTCCCAATATACTAAAGGGGACTCTGAACAAGTTATTCAAAAATAAGTCAGGCATAGCAACGCACACAATTGTAATATGAATTCCTCTGTAGCTTTTAAAAAGCTACAGACATTGGTGCTTGGGACATAAGTGCAAGGAGTAGTTGCACAGCTGCCAGGTGAGTCTTGAGAGCTCCCGAGCAGAGGGGAGTGTGGAATTTGCCCTCATAGCCCAGGATGGCAACCTTTCACTGCAAGACATTACCCTATCAAAGGTAGCAGGGCAGTTTTGGTTTGCTTTATGCGTATAACATGGATGGCAAAGAATTTCTCCTCCAGCCCTGCAGTACCCAAATTTATAAAGTTCTCACTGGCTTCTGGATCAAGATGGCAAGTCTTTGAGGAGACAAGTGGTTCTGCACAACTCAGCAGTCCCCAAACACACATTTCCTTGAGTGTGCTCAAGGAAAATAATAAAAAAGTGTAACAACAAAAAAAACTCACAGGAATATACCTTTCTTTAGAGATTCAGAACAAGGTGTGGGCACAACAGAAAACCATAGGGTTTCCCATGTAGATATCTTCTTACCCAAAAGTAAAAGTTTTCACCCAGTAACAATTATGACCAGCAGGCACTTTTTTTTCCCCTCCCCATACACACTTTCATAAAGGATTCTGTCTTCCAGCAGAGAAACAGATCTCTATATGTTAGGCAAGAGTGACATCTGCTGTTCATCACGAAGAGCAGAGCTGATGTACAGTTGTCCCACTGACCCCCTCCTGGTTTTTAAGGATATGAGTGCAGGTAGGCTCTGCACATTTCTGCTCTCAGGTCTTCAGCCCTCATTGCCAATTACAACGAGAGAGAGTCAGTATTTTAGTAAATGTCAGTAAATCATCCACACTTCAGATTGTTGAATGGAAATGACATCTGGAGCTGTTAGTACCAAAGTTAGGACATTTATGTATAAAGAACACTTCTAGCAAATCAAAATCAACAAAGCAAGAAGGCAGAAGCTCTCTGGGGCTGCAGATACAACCAGCCAGACCAGGCCTCCTTCATTTTGAGAAGTCCACAGAGGATGGGAAGCTGGGCTGACAAATCAAGCTCAAGTCAAAAACACAATTTGCACAGCAAGGCTTTTTGATACTGAACACCTATGACCTAATCTGTTAACACAGGTCTCAAAGCTCCCCCACCAGGACATTTGTGTGCTCCTAGCCTTGTGCCACAACGCAATACGAAAATGCAGGCCTCCAAGAAAGCATTCTTGGTGAACAGACAATTGATAAAAGTTTATCAGAAATTAAACGAAACATTAGAAAAATGTTTCAAACCACACAGACAATTTAATAATTTTGTGAGACAAATTTCTGTTTAAATCCAGGCTGAGTGAATACTAGGGGTATCCAAATATGCATGTATGTACGCAGCCATACATGTCTAAATCCTAAGTAAATAAAGAGGACTATAAAGGTCTGCACTACCTTGAGGACTAATAAAACTAAAGAATTAAGCAATTTCACAGAACTTCATCTCTGCAGTCTTGATGACTCCTGGGAAATAAAGAGCGTACAGTTGAGACTGGTTGGTAAACAGGGCTCCCTAGCTGTGGGAAAGGGTTGGCTAAGGTCTAGTGTAGTTTTGTCGTATTGTGATTTGTCTTCCTTGCAACAAGAAGAAACTGGTTGCTCTTGAAATTTTGGATCTTTGATCTTACCCTTGTCTTTTACAGCTTGCAGTCTTCATAGGATTGTAAAATTCTAGGACCCATCAGGTTGAAAGGGACTTCAGAAGGTCTCTAGTACAATTCCCTGTCCAGAGAAGTGTCAGCACTGATTTCTGGCCAGGTTGCTCAGAGCTGTGTCCAGCTGTGACTTGAAAACCTCCAAGGATGGCACCTGCACATCCTTGCAGGGCAGCCTCCCCAGTGCCTATCTTTAAGGAGAAAAGGTTTCTCATTATATTCCCTTACTGTGCTCTGCAAATTCTTCTTCCCACAGAGTTTGACTGGATGACATTTTTGGTTTTGAACTGCAAGAAGTCAGCAACAGAGGGAATAAGGGAAAACACAGCTCTTTGTGAACACCAGCAGCGTGCCCGTGGGCCAGCCAAGCACGCAATCTGCAGATGCCAGCACACTGACTCAGGCACTGTTTAGGATTGAGAAATGCTTGACAAGAGGTGACCACCACACCTAGACCTTTACCATCATTTGCTCTTCACTGAGTATGCTCGGTGTTTGGGTAACTGGCTTCTGTGTTGGACAAGTGCATCATATGCAAGAGTTTCATTCCTGTCCTCCTGCCAGAGGACATAAGGGCAAATGTGATCCATAGCAATACTTGCCTTCTTGAGCTTCCTGAGCCTCATCTTCCTCACTTCCCAGCCAGCTCCATGCCTCAGTTCCCTGCCCCTCTGCTTGCCGCCACGCTCTCCTTCTTGCCCTGGTCTTGTTTTGCCTAAACAGGACCTCTGCAGCTGAAGAAAAGCAATAGGGTGCTTCCCTATCGAGAACTGTGCGAGTAGGCAACTGACACCACAACCCAATAAAGGGAAGGGGAATGAGGAAATAACTTCACAGTGAGCTGCAGAATGATCTGCCAGTAACACCCACCCTGAAAGATAAGAGAAATCCTCAGCAGGGTGTAGCACAAACAATGAAGGAGAGGGAATTCCTCAATGTCATAGGAGAGGTTGAAAAAAATAAACCCTTGAAAATTGAAATGAAAGAAGAGAATTAAACTCAGAAGCATGAACTTTTAGTTAAGACACAGTCAGTGCCCAAGTGGGATATATGAGGTAACCCATCCCTGAAATATGTTCTGCAGTAGTGGCCTAATTTGCCATAGCACTACAATCCCACCGATCTTAAATAAAGAAAAAGTGCTACAAATAAAGCACACCAAAGACTAATGTACCAATTACTCATCTTGTCATGCAAGCTTCCACAGGTATTTCTGGCATTATTTATTTTCACTCCAGTAAACAGCTTTAAAACACATGGGAAAATAGGTCGAGAAGGGGTGTACATCTTTGGAGTACACATGTCTGGCTTACAAGGCTGCCATGCCCAGGAAGGGTGTGGATCCATCCAGCATGCATCTATCTGCCCTGCTATGTCCTGCAGGCACACCACTTCTCCCATGGGGAGAAACATGTCATACCAAGAGAAAAAACAGAGGCACTGGCATCAAGTTTTGGCAGTCTGGTGCTCCACTGAGTGCAGGAAGGAAGCATACAGTGGACAAAAGGGGGATGTATGGTCAGAAGAATGGGTGGTGTAGGTGCTGGAGTGGCAAAAATTGCCACAGAGCAGCTTGCAGCAGAGCTTTTACAAGAGAGCTGCAATCTGGCAATTTTATGCAGAGCCAAAGGAAAAGGAAAGTTTTGCCCAAGGGAAAAGCTGTGGATGTGAACAAAAATTTACAAGTGCGTTGGGCGTGTTTTTAAATCACCTTGATAACAAAATCAATGAACACATTTTAGTGGAAGGCCTTTAAAATATCTCCAATGAAAGTATGAAAATTCTTTGTTGGAAAAAGAGACAGAGGGGGCCAACACAGGAGGAAGGATGCATGCAGCCAGTGAAGTCAGGAGGAGAGATTTATTAGAAGAATCAATGGCAATTAATATCCAACCTTTATTAATGCCCAGAACACTTCTGAAAATTTCCCTCTCAGTCAACATGAAATATTGCAAGATAGATAAATAACATCTGTGAAGCCTTCAGGTAAAAGGAACTCCCTTGCCACTCTTCCACACCTCCTCTCCCCCCAAAAATAAATAAATAATCATGGCTATTTCAAAGGAATTCAAAATTCTTGTAACAGGACAAAAATAATTAATAACTGTATATAGGGAAATTGCACGTTGGATCATGTGGATTTCATGTATAAATATATGCTAAAGAAAATCTAAATTTGAGCAAAGGATCCAAGCTAACTAAATTATTAAACAAAACAACAACAAAAAAAAACTTTTCACAGAGAAACAATTAGATTTTCCTGGAAGAGACAGCAGGTGATCCCTGATATTTTATGGGAGCAGGAGGCGACGGATGATGACAGGATCACCTTAAGCAATTTCACCATGGCATGTTTTGGACACAAGATGAAGGCAATGTAGCTCAGCGTACATACCTGAAAAGCAGGAGAGATGCTTTGACAAGGCCTGTGTTATGGGGGCTTTCCTCACTGGCACTGCATGACAGAGGTTGCAATGCTACATGATTTCACTGTTCTGTGAGATAAAAGTGGGCAGAATAATTCATTCCTCACTGTTGCTGATGCAGCGGCAGAATAATTTTTTTGATCCCTTGACTCCGTTCATTGTGATCTGTCTTCCCTCTGCCTTTCTCACCCTTGGCAGTGGTTTCCTAACAGAGGACAGCTATTTACATTCTGGTCTTCCTGCCATGGCAGGAAGACAAAGATTTTCTCAATTTCTGGGATTTTTGAGAGGACAGGCATACAATAGCCATCTCTCCTTTTCTCCCTCCCTCTGGCAGGATGCCCACAGTCACCACTTGGCACTCTAGTCATAGAAATAAGAAATATGAATTCAGTGGATGAAGGGACAGAGAGCCCCCAAACACAGGGAGGATTTCCTGACTGCTGCAGGAGCACACTAGGGCTTGTGGGGTCAAGAGAGTAAAAGAGGCCACCTCTGACACCTCTCTGCAGTATCCTATGGTGTGGCTGACAGTATCCCAAGGCAGAGCTGACTTGTGCTTGCACACCAGGGATGCCTGGGATTTCTGGAAGTCTGGTATCACAGGAAGAGACATGGCTCCAACCACAGTGCCCAAGATGCAGAAATATGGGATGAAGGTTAGAGGGCCTCATGCTCTACCTAACAAAGCTGATAGGAAGGAAAAAGAATAGGCTAGAGAAGCTCAGGTGTATGGTGGGATGATCTAAAGCTGCCTAATAAGGAAGATATATGAAAGGTGATTGGGTTACAATGTTTATATCCTTCAACAAAAAACAATACAGCCGTTGCTAAATGGCCTACTTATAGCAGATATAGGCATGAAGGTAAAAGTCTGAAAGCAGAAGCTAGAGAGAGTCATATAAAAATCTAAGCACTTGATTTCAACTGTGGGCATGATTCACCATTAGAACAATCTATCAAAAGAATAAGAGGATTTTCCTTCTCTCTCCAAATCAAGATTGCCTTTTATTAAAAACAAACAAAAAATCAACAAAAAAGAAACAAGCAAACACCCACGCTGCCAAACAGAAGTTACTGGAAATTCTAAGCAAAAACTGATGGCAATGGGTATATATAAGACTCAGATTGTGTTTTCTAGAGTTTCTTCTATCCTCGGAAACCTGTGAAACTCTCCCATGAATTTACATGATGGTATCATGTCACCCTGCTCTGCAACTGTACCAATATTTATGCACAAAACTCTTGATGTTGATTTAAAAATTCCAATAGTTGAAGAATCGACCATATTACTAAGAGGATTTGTTTTAGCAGCTAGCCACCCTCACCAAGAAATACTTGTGCTTTGCTGTCAGCCTGTATTGGCACTGCTCTAACTACACCCATGCCAGGAGTCTCTTCCCATGGATGTGAGCATGGCTGTCATCCATTCCTGTTTAAAACTGCTTTTGTATAAACCTACCAGAGCAAATCCCTAAAGCCTCAAAAGTCTCTCTAGATATGCCACATCTCCCACTCATTCCCAAAGCTCTTTTCCAGCTCCTCACAAGTTTTCAAAATCTCCCTGAAGTACAAACACTAAGCTTGAAATACAGTATTCAAGAAGTGATCCAGTTGAATATAGCTTGAATCATAATGCTACAGCAATTCCCACTCTTACTCAAATATACCATACAAGAAGAGACAAAATATCAAAAATCAAAATATCAATCAATTAATGAAAAATAAAAATACTGAGCAATGAACTTGGCATCCTTTATCTATTATATAAATTAATATATATATATATATATATAATCTTAATAAAGCATAGAAAGTCCTTTATCTGTATGTGTAGGGATACAGAGAACAGTCCTGAGAACATTGAACTGCATGCCCCTGGTGTCTCCCTGAGTCCCCTTTGCAAAGTGCATATTTGCATTTTACAAAATAGTTTCCATGATATATAGTAATGAAATTACTATCATGGATCAGCTAGTTACATAGTAAAAAGTGGTTTCAACTCTTTCTATAATAGAAGAACAATGCTGGTTCATAGGAACTCAGGGATATATTGACAACTGACAGTTTATTTCTGAACGTTTGTATTTAGGAATCCAAAATTAACATTCACATTCAGGACTGATGTGGCCAGACTTACACTAGAAAGAATAATGGAGTTATGTATGACCAGTAAGCTGAAAGTCATTCATGTGAAGGTATCATATACTGAAAGCATTGTATAAAGGTAAAGAAACAGGACAATTATGCAACCATTCAAAATGTAGTATTTGCTAAGTAATTTCAGCCCTGATTCACCATTACATTATGCAGTATGTAATTGCTCGTGCTTCCCAGTTCACATCTCTTATCACCATGAGAAAGTAAATAATAGCTTCAAATGAGCAATGCTTCCAGATCTGAAATTAAGCTCAATGTTGGAAAACATTCAAGATCTTTTCAGCCTCATCTAAACATTTCCCTCTCAAGATAATAACTTTCCTACCTGTTCACATAAGTTTGCAAATATTTAATTCAAAATCAAATCTGGAATGCTTAGACTTTTGAAAGTTTTTTTTCCTCCCCTTCAGGGAAAGGGAAAAAGAAAGAGAGAAATATGAAACTAGAGCAATGATCACTGCTTTAAACAAGATGACATTTGATGGAGCGCAGTTATTCCAAGAAACAAAAGCAATCTTAAAGTAAGGGGAAAGAGATCAAGCAAAATGTGTAAGTACTGACCCTGCAGGAAATGTCATAGTCTCAGGTAGCACCACACCAGAAAGATAAGTCATCCCATAAAATCTTTATCTCCTCCTACACTGTAATTACCCTGGCACTTCTGGGCAAGCCCATGCTCCTTTCAGTTCAACGTACAAGAAGTAAAACACTTGTCCTAGGGTGCCCTAGAGGTTGTGCCCTTCCTGCTTCTCAAAAGGGAGAAGAGATTTCTGATAACCCCTTCTTGAGGGTCGGCCACTACGTTAAGGGAAGTACACATCTTTCTTCTGCTTTATTGCCTGGATAGTTGGGACCTTTAACATGCTCCAGACCTCACAGCAGGCTGGATATTTTTGCAAACAATGAGACTTTGACTTCCTTCCTAGGCTTCTTTATTCCTCTGATAACGCCCTGGACAAGTCCTGCCAGCAGAAATGTCTATTACCCCTGTGGCATGGTTCTGGCAGGACAGCTGTCTGCTGGTCCTGCAATCCTTTTCCCCAGCACAGCCCTCCTCCAGCTGGGTTGCCCCCACAAGCATACCTGGAGCAACTACATGTGGTCTTGGACACCTCTCCCAGCTGCAAGATCCTGCTTGTGCCCAGCTTGCACAATCCCTGCTCTTCTCTCAGGTCCCTCCCTGCAGGAGAGGCAACTAATCCCACTGAGCTCCCAGGCTGGGGAACAAGAGCAGCTTCACCCTTTTTGGAAGGCCAGGGCTTGGTCCTGCTTTCAGCATCCACCAAGATCTCTTCTGGGTGTCTCCTGCCAGCTCAAACTCCTGCTCTCCCTCCTCTCCCCATATATCCCACCTATTCTGGGACCAGGGGAGCAGATACTCCTTCATGTGGGCTCTGCAGCACTGTTCCTTTTCTCCACCCAGGCTGCCTTCCTCCAAGAGGTCTGGAAGCACCCAAAACAAACCGCTCCAGCCACACCAGACAGGTTACAGGCAGTCCTGACTGATGTGCTCATAGGCTCAGGGCAGGTCCCTGCATTCTGTGCAGGCAGCAGAGGACAGCAGACATGGGGACGTGGCAGCCAGCTTGCACACAGGCATGAGGGGTCAGAACTGCCCATGCTGCCTTCACCTGGCAGAGACTGGGAACAGAGGCAGAGCTTTTCCACAACCCACCCCTTAGCCAGGGGGATTTGCAGACAGCCCCACTGCACCAGACCGATGCAGTTACAAGCATACTCTGCCAGCTGGAGTAGGATATTTAAGGACCCAGCTATGAAGAAAAGAAGAGGTCGTGCCGAGGATTTACAGGTAAAACATGTATTTTGATTTAAAAGCATGAACTTGGACAGAGGGCAGAGCAGAGGGAGACAAGCAAAGGGTTAGAGGGTGATGAAAGCATAGAACAAATTAAACTTATCTAGAATGCCTCCAAAGCTCAAGTGAAATCCACATACTCTTTCCATATGGAGGTACCTCACTGAGTTATACAGACCAAGGGAAGGAGGACTCACATCTTCATCCTTAAATATGTAATTTGTGACTTTCAGATCCCAGCCAGTGGAAGAGTCAAACAGCGTGAGCCAAATCCCATTTAATTTATTCAGCAACACATCTGTGTGAAATATAGTCCAATTACAGGCATTAGGTTACTTTGCCATGGCTGCAGCCATTTGGCTTTTATTTCCAGCAGGCTCTAATTAAATTATCACAATGCAGGAGCAGACAAGTTTCCCTTATACGTGACTGCAATTAAAGACATGCAATCACAACATTTTTTAAAGTGACTCCAATCAATTGGTTACAGTAAAGAGTACCACGTAACGGAGCAGTGGCTCCACTGTTAAGACTGAGAGAGAGTTTCTATTTCAATAATCTAGTTCCCTTTTATTTTGAGTTCTGCTCTTGGATAATTTATTTAAAGTTCATTATGTGTCTACAGCATATATCATTTGCCCTCAGCTTAGGCTGCAGAAGTCCCATTACAGCCAATTACTTAGTGTGATAAAATCTGCCACAGCACAAACTGCTGCTTAATTAGATTTAAGTTTTGTCTAAATTCTATTTGTAATTCAGACAGCAAAATAATAAGGCCAACAGCAAAGACTCGCTGTCTCCTCTCACCGGTCACTGGCAACCTGTTGTGTTGGGTGTAATCTCAGCACGGTTCGGAAATGATCTCCTGCAGTGCTTTTCTTGTAATACTTGTCCCCACCCTGGGTGTCCTTAACCAGCCTGGGGGTGGCCTGACCTGTGACGCAAACCTTTCCCTGTCAGATACCTCACCCATAGCAAAAGGGATGGCTCTGAAAACTGCTGGGGAGGTGGTCATTAGGGACTGCAGTGGCTGAGTGCTGTAATTGTGCCCTTTGATGGTTGTAGGTATTTGCCCTATGCGTTTGCAGCAGCAGCGCACTGCTAGGCAGGAAAAAAAAAGCTGCTGACAAAATGTTAATCCTACAAATCCACAAAGAAAGCATAATGTTGCAGGGAGCAGCACCCAGCCATGCTCTTCAGCTCGGTTAATAGCTGTGCACTGTAAACACCGCAGGGTGTACAGGGCTCATGCTTCCTGGGGAGACAGCACGCCACAGCCTGCTGCTGCAGGATGGGGCCTTTACTGCTAATCTGGTTAAACATTAGCCATACCAGCTTCAGGCTGGTTTGGGGGACAATGGTGTCACTGCATTTCTTCAAATTGGCTTTCTTTTGTACATCACCCTCTCCTTCCCCTACACAGAGTGCATCTCTCTACTCAGGGTGTAACAGGGGCTCACAGACAGCACTGGCTTTGCTCACTTGTTCTTCTCACATGGCTGGATGGGGCTGGAATGCCAGCCTGGAAAGCACTAGTGTGGAAATTGCTTCAAACCTGAATTTGAGCCATGAATTTACCCAAACCTTCCCCTGCACTATCCCCCGCCATGAGAGGAGGTTTGAAGCTGCTTTGTTCTTTACAAACAAATGCCAATGTTTGGCATGCATCTCTTCAAGCTCCAGCTTCAGTTTTTAAAGAATTTTAAATGCATTTGAACCAAATGTTCCACACAAATTTGAATTAAAATCCTGCAATCTGTCTCTGTGAGATCTCACAAATGAATGAGGGTAGAAGTCACATACATAAAATTCAGGGTGGAATAAGTAATGGAAGTGATGATTAAGTAGGATCCCTTTTAATAGTCAAAGGCCAGAGTGATTTTAGGATGGGCACCATCCCGTAAGAGGTTGCCTACATCAGGAAATAATTACAGTAGAGATTTATTCAATTTTCTCCCATCTAAACATCTTTACAAGAAAACAGGCGTTCACACAAGTACATTTACTGGGCACAATATTAGTAGTTATTTCCTAGGTGCTTCAGTAGCCCTGTATTTTCTACTGGAGAGGTACTATGTAGTGGACTATCTTTACATCCCTTGAATCCTGCTCAAGTCCCAGAATGTATCTTCAAAATGGCTGCTTTGCTAGGTTGGATGTGTTTATTCTGATGTTTCAGAAAAATACTAAGACTACTGTCTAAGAAACACACCATTTATATATATATATATATATATTTAGGAATAGACATAGCAGCTAATGGAAAGCCTAAAAATATTGCAATTTCTTTGAGATATTAAACTTGTTAATGAATTAAAAAAAAAAAATATTTCTGTATCAGTTATTTTCAAGAAGTGGAAAGAAAAACATTACGTAACTACACAGTCAAAAAGAATATGCAAACATTTCAATATTTGCTCTGCTTTCCAGTTAATTAGCAAGGATGTGAATAGCTTTTACGGAGCAGTAACATTCTGGACATTCCTCTCTATGCTTCTGGTCAATGGCACACCACAAGCAGTCTTTCCTTCTGCTGCACTTGACCCCAAATGAGAACAGAAAGTGAACCCAGTGTACTGGGGAACACACACCACTTAGTGTGCTGCTGGGAGTCCTTCACATTTTAGCTATATTGTGCTTGTGCAGAGCCTCCCTTGAGAATACATATTTTAAAATAAAAATTGTATCTGTCTCTAAATAGCTATGAATAAAAGGTCTATATATCAGGATTATTTCTCACCAAAGAAGCAAGACCATTTCATACTCAATAAAGGCACTTAAAGAGTGGCAGTGATGGCAACTTGAAAGGAAAGACCTGGCTATTTGTTGGTTTTAATGGGCTAGTACAGGGTCTTACCCATCAGTGAACACTAACCATTTCTCTCTTCTTTAAGCATTAAGGAAAAAACATGAACACAACTGGTGAAAACTTAGCCAGCCCCACCTCCTGGCAGCCCACTACAGGTGATTTTCCCAACTGCACTGACGTGGAAGCTACTCTGAAGACTTTGTACCTCCCCATTATGTACAGCATCATCTTCCTGGTGGGCTTTCCAGGAAATGTCATCGCCATCTGTGTTTACAGCTTCAAGATGAGGCCTTGGAAGAGCAGCACCATCATCATGATGAACCTGGCACTCACAGACCTGCTGTACCTAACCAGCCTCCCCTTCCTCATACACTACTATGCCAGTGGGGAGCACTGGATCTTTGGTGAGTTCATGTGCAAGTTCATCCGCTTCGGCTTCCACTTCAACCTGTACAGCAGCATCCTCTTCCTCACGTGCTTCAGCATCTTCCGCTACATGGTGATTGTCCACCCGATGAAGTTCTTCCACGTCCAAAGGAAGCGTTGGACAGCGGTGGCCTGTGCAGCCATTTGGATGATCTCACTGGCAGCTGTCATCCCCGTCAACTTCTTGATCTCCTCAAAAGAGGAGGAAAACAGGTCCTTATGCCTTGACCTTACCAGCTCTGAAAACCTGGGCACAATCCGGTGGTATAACTGGCTGCTGACCAGCCTAGCCTTCTTCTTGCCCCTGCTGACGGTGACTCTGTGCTATGCATTCATTATTTGCACCTTGGCCACCGGGCTCCAGGCACGGGCTGGCTACAAACAGAAGGCTCGCCGGCTCGCCATTGTCCTCTTGGTGGTCTTCTATGTGTGCTTCCTCCCCTTCCATGTTTTTCGGATAGCTCGGCTTGAACTGCGGTTTTGTACGGCCAACTGCCACGTGGAGAAGCAAATCCATGCCGCCTATATCATCTCCCGGCCACTGGCTGCTCTCAACACGTGTGGTAACCTTCTCCTTTACGTCGTGATCGGAGGTGCCTTCCAGCAGGCCATCCTCTCTCTTTCAAGGTGCAAGTGGAGAAAATACATCCAGCGACCTGGCAGCAACAATTACACCAACAAGTCGGAAATCAACTTAAGGTTATGAAAGGGTCCCTTGGTGAGAATTCCAGGAAACTTGGGATTGCTTCGGTGCTGCAAAGCCCTGCATAGGCAGGTGTGCTGATAAGGCAGTGAGAATTGCAGCTGTTTTTTCACTCCATCTCCAATAGAGTGCTTGCCAGAAAAAGCTGTCTCAGGAGCAGGTTGATACTTACCTCTCTTAGCAACCAGAGAAAAGGGAGTGAAAAGAAAAATCTTAAGCCTCCTCAAAGGTAGAATTTTAAGTTACCCCATAGGACTGTTTCTAAAGTTATTTGGGAAATGCAGGATTCTCTTGCTTCAGGCTCTGTGGCTGGTTACAGAAATACAAGGAGCTTAGTTTGGGCAAGAGAACAACTTCCATTGATGTCAGTGCCATCACTGATGTAGTGTTTGCTTTGTTTATTAGAGCTGGAGTGAGATGCAGCAAATTGTCACGGTTGCTGAAACCACTGAATTACATAGTTAGAAACCAGCTAGATAATCATATGTTTTCAAATTAGATGAACCTTATGAACTTCAGCACAGGTCACTAAAGAACTGAATCACAAAATCTCAGTTGGCCCAGGGAAAGATGAGAGAGAAGTACCAAAGGAGGAAACATGGTCAATGTAAGAAAAGATATACAAGGAGACACATATATGGAGAAAATGGAGGAACAAGGAATTAAAAACAAAACAAAACAAACAAACAAACAAAAAACTCGGTCATGTTAATATCCACCTCAGAAAAATACTAGAACAAACAATCAGATGATAAGCCTACAGAAGATGAGTACATTTGACTACCAGCCAGTATGAGTCTACCAGGTATGTACAAAACCATATTAATCTGATTTCCTACTACAACACATTAGGAAAAGAAACATGTATCATAAATCTTGACTCCAGAAAGAGTTTTGACATTGTCTGAGGTGATACTCCTCTGTGTAAGCTAAGGAAAACAGTCTAGAGGATATTAGTGACTACTTTTGCTGGTTACAGAGCTGTAATCAGAGTGGTTTACTATCAAAGTAGAGGGAGCCACTCAGTGGGGATTTGACCAGTCTGTCCTAGGTTTAGGGATATTTAGTGTTTTCATTAGTGAGTTGGATGATGAAATAAGGTCTGTTTATCATATTTGCAGAAGACATGAAGCTGAGAGGAAAAAATTATGTTGACAAATTGCAACTATGGTCTGGAAAAGCACAGGATGCTACGAGGCAGTGACAGGTGCAATGTACTGCATTTAAGTAGAAATAATGAATTGTACAAACACTAAAGGAGTAAAAACTATTTAGGTAATGGTTTGGTAGAGAAAGTCCAACTGTTGCAGAGAATCTCAGGAGCTGACAGTTTCAGTGGGCTGACAGTGTTGCTGTTTTTCTGTTCCAGAAGAGGCAGATGCCATGCTGGGATGCATAAATAAGAATATAATGTGCAAGATGTGTGAAGCAGCCCTTACGCCCTCCTCAGCGTTGTTAACCTCTCAGCTGGAGCACTGCGTTGTTAACCTCTCAGCTGTAGCACTGTGTCTGGCCTTGGAGGCTGCCCTTCAGGGAAGACCAGCCGAGCAGAGCATGGTAAGGGCACCCAGAGGAATGACCAAAGAGGAAAGGAACTGGATGGAAAACCAAATGGTCTGAAAACACCCCAAGGGGGGAATATCAGGAAGGGCTTTCTCTTGGGGCAAGTTGATGAAGAACTGGAAAGGACAAAAGGAGCCTATGCTGCCAGGTGTCTGAAGGTTCAGGCTATTGAGGCATTTAGCAAGAGGAACACAAGATCACCCGACCTCCGGATGTCCCTTTTGGCCTCTAAGCTCTGCAATTAGGCATATGTTACTGGTAGAATCAGTGCTAGCGAAAGAAGTCATGCCAGGGGACATCCCTGGCACTGAAGGTTGTCCCACCACCCTGCTATGGCATGGGAGAGCCTGGGGCATGTGACTGGCCAGCAGCAGCCACCACACTCCCTAGCAAAGCCTGGTACCCACCATGGGTTAGCACCATTCCCCGCAGGCAGCGGTGTGTGGGTACCACATGTAAGTAGGTCAAAAAAATGATACTGTAATGTTTTTGCATGCCTTGTGGATATTTAAAAAAACACTTGATTTGGTAAAGACACGACCATCACGTACAAACAGTGAAACAGACCTTTTGACATGTTTTCTGTTTTGACATGTTTTCAGGTTGCCACTAGGTGGTGATCATTCATGGTCAACCTACCTGGTTTCACACATGCATGTCTGATTCAAAACCACAGTTTACACAAATATGATGATTCACATGAGAGAAGTCTTTTTTTTGATATAGATTCGTAGCATCCTACCGATCTGACATGGACAAAAAGTACAAACACACTGCATAAATTCTCTTCTCTTTCATATAAGTGAAAGCACAAGATGTGTCTACTACTTATACATGCACATCTAAAGCCTCTGAATGGGTTAAAATTATCTTTTTTTTTTTTTTTTTTTTTTTTTTTTTTTTTTGATGGTCCTGAGCAAGGACCATCATTGTATTTTTAATTCTTCTTCTCAGAAGCTCTTCTTCTCAAGCCCACGCTGAGCTTATCACACACAGACAGAAACTTTTGAATAAAACTACACATACAACATAAAACAGGGTGGCTAAAGGTAAAAAGTGTGGAATGGAAGTGTTCAAGCTTTTTCATCTCTGCCAGCAACAAGAGTGACAGTCCCCCAGTTTCAGTGGCTTGGAGAGGGGCTGCTTTTCCATCTCCTCCTCATCTCTTTCCCTAACATTGCTGTAGGTTGGTTGCCTTCTGCCTGTCTCACCTACTGCCTCTCTTCATTCAATTGGGGCTAAACTAGATGATTTTAAAGTGCTGAAGCAGATTAGGGAATGCTCCTGGGAGCCATGGTTCATCGGTGGGGCAATAATATCCACTAGAAGAGCAGCTTGGCTCCATTACCTTGGCTGAATTTAAAAAAGGACAAAAGCTCAACCTTAGTGCAGGCATTTTTAATGAATTCAAGGTCTGCTCAGGTGCTCTGTGGGACTGAGAGATCATTATCTCATGTGACTCATTCATTTTGCTTACTGTGGAGGATGAGATCTCGATAGCTTCTAATTTTAGTAGCTGTAGGTTTACTGCTGAAACAAGGATAAGTGCTTCAATTGCAGTAAACAGGAGACACTTTCCAAACTCTGTATGCAGTGTGACAACAAAGCCACATAAATTAATATGCTATCGCAGGCTAATTCACAGCGTAGTTATGCTCCAGTAACCAGGTCTCTGTTAGAAATCTCTAGCATGTTTGTCTGCAAAGACAGTCGTGTCAGCTCAAGTACATGCCAGCCAGCTACCCTCTGCCAGGGACTGCAGAGTCCAAAAAAGAAACTTTGCAAGGTAAACTAGGTTCACACCTCTCAAAGAGATGTCAGTTCTGATGATGCTAACGAAGAAGTTATGGCATTGCTGACTGCTTTTGTAGACATGTCAAACCTTATTCTTCACAGTGACTCACTTAGTGTCAGAGACTGCAGCAGAGTAATTTTCTACCATTAATTGCCAGGAAAGGCAAACAGCATTTTTTACCTTTTCTGCCCACATCTTGTGTTCCTGTAAGAAGTGGAAGCAAAACTCAAACTCAGCTCATACTCAGACCTCCAAGATAGGAAAAAATACTGACTGCAACATTTCACGTAACAAAGAAACAAAACAATAACTTGCAAAACACGTCTGTGTCTTGTTCTAGGTGCTTTTCAAGCAACTCCAGTGCTCTGTGTCTGACTGAATGCCTAAAAAGAGAGTAGAGAATACCATATATGTTATCAGAATCAATAACCTGGTTAACAGTTAGTAGAGCAAAAAGCTACCATGACTTGATAATGGTTGACTATTGCAAGGTCTGTGTTGGGTGTTGATGTGAGACAAGGCTGCAGTTTTATCCTTGTGTAATGGTATGTGAGATTGGGCTGCTGTGATGTTAGCTGTGGAGTTTAACTCTACAGCAGTGATCCGCCACATGAAGGGAGGGTAGTGCCAGCCCCACCACTGAGTCATTTAGACCACAGACAGATGTTGTCATTTTGCTGATGAGGCTAAGCTGGCAGAATAAACTTGGAATGACTGCTTCCTTCTGTCACTGTTTTGTACTCTAACAATGCAGGTTGAATGAACCTAAACTTTGAAACCACAAACAAGAATTTGTATTCAATTGCTACCAACCCCAAAATGTATTTGCCTTTCCCTGCCAGCAGAATATGAGAAGAGATGTAAGGGAAAAAAATAAAATAAAAAATTGTTCTGTTCCCTTATCTTTCCTTCTTTCCTTGTGAAAGTAGAGGCATTTGGTGGTGTCAGCAAATGCCACTTGGATGCAAAGGCCACACAATTCAGTCTAGGAGGAACAGAAGTTTGCCCTAAAGAAGGTATATTGCGATGCTTGTTATCTGACTGGTAACTGGAAAAGATCAGTGTTTTCAACTAAAATATCTTTCTTGGTGCTCAAGACTCTTGTGTGCTGTAGTAGAGAGCAGAGCCAGTGAGACAACTTCTAATGCAGGAGAAAAAATGCATTCCTGCTTTAAGTCAGAGCTGTACTCTGGGACCCAGAGGGAGAAGAAGGAAAGTCAGTAAACACAGTGCTGAGTGTCTTCCCAAAATAAAATTTAAAACTCAAATGCCGATTTTTTAAAACACACAGAGGGAACATGATTTTTCTGGGTTGCTGCAGGCAAGTATAATGCAGGGTATGTTTGGTTCATCATTGCTAGAATCTTAGAAGGTATTTGAACTAAAATGTATTTTATCTCCCAAGATCTCTCCTCGGTTTCTCTGCTCCCACAATGGATGGTATCACTGATATCTAAACCAGAAGAGAGGTGATTGCCTGGAAGCTTCAGTAACAGTGATGCTCTCTGTTTTTACAAGTAAAACCCTTCCTTTTCAGGTGGACCTGTGGTGACAAATTTGGGTATTACCACAAGAGCACCCCCTGATATACTCAACTCTTTCCCCAACTTTTCACAGACTTTTACATCTTTTCACCACCATGCAAAGTGATACCCGGGACCTGCAGCTGACAGGGCTCAAAAACACCTTCTCGTGAGGGCCTTCAAAGGGCATCCAAGGTACCTTGACGAACAGCACTCACACATCCTCTACTGGGGCTATATTGGTAAACTAAGCTGGGCAAGAAAGAGGTGGTTTGGCACAAAGCAGGGAAGTGTTATGGGTGGATTTATATCCAGTTCCAAATGGTCCCGAAGGGGCAATTTTCCACTGAGTGAACCAGGCTGGTCCAATTGTTTATGGTCTCAGCAATAATAAAGAAGACCTAGGAGACAGAGAGATACAAATATACTGTGCAACAATTTAAAGCAATACATCTTTTTGAAAGTTCCCTTTTCCCTTTGCTTCATGAGGCTTTTTAGCAATAGGAAGTTATCTCAACAGACAAGGCAGCAGCAGCTGCCCACAGGAGTTTTCTCACACTTACCTGTCTGTTTGTAAGCTGCACTGAGATATTTATACTTCACCCCGATTTTACAGGTGATCAAACCGAGGCACAGTGGAGTTAAAGCAACTCGCCTCTGGTCACAAAGCAAATTAGCAGCCAGGCAGGGAACAGATCAGTTCCCAGCCCAGAGCTTTTACAAAGTGCATTAAAGGCTTAGGGTAAGGTTTTTAAGGGAGTCTTGATTGCTCAGTTGTGGCATGTCAGGAATAAAAGCTGAGTTAGACTAGCATCTGCTCTACTCAGGCCCCAGTGCACCCTCAATGCCGCACTCTGCATCTGTGAAAGGATCTTCCCTCACTTCTGTTTTCCTTCGGAGGAGATTTTGGGGAACTAGCTCACCAGAGGTATTTGGCTACCAGTGTGTGTGATCTCAGCCAGGAGCCAGTAGTGAGCTGCATTCATCCCATTCACCAGTTTGCATCAAGTAGGTATTAATTTGCAGGTTAATGTAAAACACTGGCAGCAGTATAGGGGACCCTTTCACAGTGACTTGTGTGTGTCACACCACAGGCCAGGAAATTTTTCTTCCCTTGGAGCAAAGGTTGGTAATAAGCCACATAACTATCGAGCTGCCTTCACCCAAGGAGCAGGGTCCCACTGCTCACCCAGTGCATGCACTGATGCCAGGAGAGCACATGGGTTCAGGTACACAGCCCAGAGCTGAGCAGAGCTGGGGCCAGGACCCTACCAAGCACACCCTGATTCACATCTGTCTGCTATGTTCTGCCTCAGATACAGGCGACGGCACCTTCCTTGTTCTAGAAGACCAAATGGGGTTAAGATGCAGCTTTTTCATACGTCTTCTAAATATCCCTTCTCATTACCTCTCAATATGGTTAATACCAAAATACTTATCCTAGCTAAGTACGTGGTTGAAAAATATCAGTGAAAACCCTCTCTACCAGAACAAAGTCCTGGCAAGCATATCCCCTGTACTTTTTCCAAAAATGTAAACCTGAATTCCACTGAGGAAGGGAGAGGACAGGAATGGGGCTCCGTATTGTGCTGGAAGCACCATAAAAAACAGTTACTGCAGTAAGTCCTGATTCTGCATTGAGGGCTTCAGCCTCCTGTCCTCCACCAGCGATGCTCTGCTGGTGCTATAATTCAAATTCCCACTAGAGGGTAGACAAAACATTTCTAGTAAAAGGAACACCTTGGGGAAAAAATAAATAAATAAATAAATAAAATAAAACAAGTATGAGGGAAACCAGCCTGTGATTTGGAAAAGGAGGTCTGGGCTGGAGAAGCAGCAGGGCACAAGAAAAGGAAAACCAAAATGCTGTTTATACCATCCACAAGAGCAAGGTGGGAGCATTGTTCCAGCTTTTTCCAAAGAAACACAGTCTGTGGCCTCTACTTTTAAACCAAGTACAGCTAGCGTGGCTATGTGGTTACAAACATGTAAATTATCATAGACCACATACAGCTGATATTGTCCCCATGGATGTTATCTTACAAGCAGTGATAGGGACCATTTAAGTACAGCAAATGGTTAGAAAGGATAAATGCAGGGAGTTAGTTTATTCACTTCAGGGCAGCAGTGAATTTACCCCTTCCTGACTGCTGAGCCAAACACAACAAATGGCGCATTTCTCTCTTTCTCCATTATTTTTGGCCACGCTAGAGTTGCAGGTAATAACAGCTTGTGTTTTCTCCTCACACATCTCTCTACTGCTGAAATGCAGGCAGGCAGGCTTCTCTGAAGCTGGCTGCAGGAGGGGAAAGTGTGGCATCAGCACATCTTTCTCTTCTTGCTCTCCCCAGAAGAGCAGATCTCTCTCCAAGTGGTCTCGGGGTCTGCATTGAAGACAAGGGCATTGAGAACAGATCTTTCTCACCACACACCCTGCATCTCTGAAGCAGGTTTTCATGCTGATTCAGTATGTCCCAAGCCAGGGAAAGCAAATTAATTCAGAGTTTATTTTCTAATTTAGTCCCAGATCTATAAAGATGGCATAAGACCCAGAAGCACCTCCTAGGTGAGCTAAATGACATTTGTGAATGCTGTGCAGCTCTTTGATTTGAACTTCTTAAATGTAACTTGTTTAACCATCTCCTGTTTTCCCAGAAAATGCCTGGTGTTCAAACAGAGCTCTGGGTGCAGAGCCAGAGCTCCTGGGGACAGGCACCAAGAAAAGGCCTCCTGCCCTGAAGGTCCTGTGGCTGGGACAGCTCTCACAATGGGATGTGGATTACTATCATCTACCTAATGTTAGAGGCCAAATTAACGTCACTTTGGGACAGGCATGGAGGTGTTTCCTTCCACAAGAGCTGCACTCTCATGTCTTATCCCAAAATAAGTGTGGGTTTTTGCACAGAGGAGGCATTGTCCCTCTGTTCTGGATGGGCCACACCTGCTGACACAGTCTTATGGGTGGCCATCGCTCTCCCTCCTGCCAAATGAGTTGACGAAACTGGGAGAGATGTAGCACTACAGGCAGTAGTCTCCACAGTCACCACATCAAAGCTAAATAGGAGGTGTGCCTGCAGATGGGTTACATCAGTGGCCCTAATGAGCCACGGAGAGGAGCCCTTCAGGCAGCAGTGTGCGTTTTCACTGCACTGAGACTCATGAATCCATTGCAATGGGGTTTTCACAGCACATCATTGGGAGGGGAGGAATTAAGCATTAATCCTGAAATGCAGTCCTGACAAACGAGGTTAAATGATATATACGTATTCTCTGTCTGACTTTTGGTGTAAGGTTTGGATGGTAGTTCTGCTGGATACCAGCAATGGCTAGGGAGAGGTATCTGGAATTCAGCACAGGGCTGTATTTGGTGTCCACTAGACCATTTCAAGAGATCACATTTCTCTACCCTGAGGTTATCAATGCCCCTGCCACCTGTCATTGCTGTGATAACTGTGAGAACTACCTCAAGCGAGGTACTTCCCATGCAAAAATCTCCTTCATCACTCCTAAGGAAAAGTTATGTAGTACTAAAGAAAAAGGTTTTGTTCTACAAAAGTCTGTGCCAGTGGGTGGAAACTAGCAAATGTCTCTTGCAGGGAGTCAAGAGGTTGACTTTGGCAAGGACCAGATGGATCTCAGCAGGTGTTCTTTCACCACGTTTTTGCCTCAGGGGAGCATCTGATTTTAAATTTTATACAGATTTTCCCTTTCTTGCATTATCTAAAACATATTGTAATACAAAGAAATGACCTTTAGTCTGGACACTTATATGTATTCATTTTTGAGGCCTCCTGGAGAAATTCAAGGCTGTTCCACTGGTTTAACAAAGCTTAAACCATGCATCTGGCTTCAGCTGTACAGTGGGTCCTACTTGTTGCTGTCTTTCTGTGGTTGATGAAATGCATCATCTCATCCCCACAAGTTTCCACTCTAAACCTTTCTGCTCCTAGGCGGACAGTGGAGGTTTTTGTACTTCTGCTTTGTGAGCCAGAGAAACTGGAGGGAGAAAAGCCACATTAAGCAGTTTCTGAACCGGGTCTTCAAAGAAACAATAAACTGTATCACTGCTGAACCTCTCTTTCTGTTGCTTGCACAGACTTCTATATTAGACAGTTTATTTTCCCCCACCCTGGCATTCAGAGCCCATATGGTATTCTACTGCCTTGCGAAGATATCAGCAATTTACCCTTACTGTCCAGAAGACATCAGCTCAATACAGCTGCTACCACGTTAATGGTGAGGGTTATCTGTGCACACCAACCATTGAGGGTGAGAATTAGGAAAAATTACCCTGTCCAAGATGAGTGATCCATTTTCTCTC